TAATTTTTGAGAGACAGGGTGTGAGTGGGGGAGGGACACAGAGAGAGGGAGACACAGAATCCGAAGCAGTCTCCAGGCTCTGAGCTGTAGCACAGAGCTCGATGTGGGGCTCAAACTCACGGACTGTGAGATCAGGACCTGAGCTGAAGTCGACCCTTAATGGACTGAGCCACCCAGGCGCCCCCCCCAAGGTATTTTTAAAGTAGATACAATTCAAGATCCTTCTCAATTCTAGAAAAGTCTGTTTCTATGAATCCATGGGTTGTATGTGCATAGATTTTTAGCGTGGGATTTCTTTTTTACAGATGCTATCTTCCTAAAGTGCTCTTTGGGTAACAGGCTCTTCAACCTCAGATTGTGAGCATTAACAATCCTTTTCTAATCCTTTACAGTGTTTTTCTAATCCTTCCTGTGAGCGGACAGCCACATGCACATACTCCTCATGCTCAATGGACAACAATGTAGTAAAGAAGGAAGATTTCTTCAAAGGAATGGGTATTTGGAATATCCACTTTGCAGCTACCTAGTAGGCAAATGTAAGTGGAAGACTGAAATGCAAGGAAATTAGCCTTTCAGGAGTCAGTAAAAAAAAAAAAAAAAAAAAAAAAAAAAAAAAAAAAAAGTGCTTTTGAAAGTATTAGGTTTTCCAAATGTTTTGTGTTAAAGCAAAAAACAACCTATCAAAGGATTTCCCTGAAACTGTGCTGGAGGTATTTTACAACCACTGACCTTAGGCTGTAAGCTGTGGCAACCTAGGTAGTTGGTGACAAGCCAGATTCATTGTCATGCCATTCCGTTTTTCTAGGTGCTCTCAAATGTGGGTGTTAAGGTTTATACTTTAACTTTTCTGAGACAGTCATTCAAAGGCAAAGGATAAATCTGGCAAGTACTGAAAAATTTATAAGCTTAAATTGACCAAAAATTAATTGGCAATTCTGCCTTGGAATATTAAACATTTTTAAATGTCCACATTAAATAAAGACATACTTTATTTTATTTTATTTTATTTTTTTTAAATTTTTTTTTCAATGTTTTTATTTATTTATGGGACAGACAGACAGAGCATGAATGGGGGAGGGGCAGAGAGAGAGGGAGACACAGAATCGGAAACAGGCTCCAGGCTCCGAGCCATCAGCCCAGAGCCTGACGTGGGGCTCGAACTCACGGACCGTGAGATCGTGACCTGGCTGAAGTCGGACGCTTAACCGACTGCGCCACCCAGGCGCCCCAAGACATACTTTATTTTAAAAACATTTGCTAAATATTTTCTCATTTCGAACCCCATGTGTTTTTTTCACAAGAATGATTACTTTAAGGCCAATATGAAATAACACAGCTTGAACACACAGGCAATAAGTGATGCAGAAAAATGAATGAATAGAATTACACACTCCAAATTAGACTGTCAGATGAAATAAAACTTGGGACAAAACAAAATCATTCGGGGCCTTATCTTCTCCATACCGAAAATGGCAAGAGGGACTGACCCTTCGCTCTCCAAGAACGGGACTATTTCCACCTGCTCACTCTCCCAACGGTTTGCTCTCAAGACTCAGAGAATGTAGCCCTCCTTACGTTTCACTCAAGATTCTGGAGCAAATATCTTGCCTTTTCAGCGGTCATCCTCTAGCGACCACAATGACTTGCATACCTTATACAGTTATCAGATGTTTATTGAACTAAATCTACTAGTTTAAAGCTACTTTGGGGAAAAGAGGGTAATAAACATGTACTTTTGTTTAAATTCTTCCAAACCTTTTTTTAAAACCTTGAAATAAGAAGGTTAATGTACTTCCTGACCATCCCCTCGCTGCTTCATTTAGAACAACAAATTACAATCGTTCTTTAAAAAGTTAGGATGAGGGGCGCCTGGGTGGCTCAATCGGTTGAGCGTCCGACTTTGGCTCAGGTCATGATCTCACAGTCTGTGAGTTCGAGCCCCATATCGAGCTCTGTGCTGATGGCTCAGAGCCTGGAGCCTGCTTCCGATTCTGTGTCTCCCTCTCTCTCTGCCCCTTCCCTGCTGATGCTCTGTCTCTCTCTGTCTCAAAAATAAATAAAAACATTAAGAAAAAAAATCTAAAAAAAAAAAAATTAGGATGCATTAGTAACGAGAAGACTGAGGATAACAACTCGTGTTAGACAATTTGCTAAATTTCCAGAGGAAGACGATGGCGTATTTTACTACGTAAGGCTTCCTCACTATTTATTTAGATGCTGTTTTGCAAGTATAACAACATACATAGGTATAAAGTGAAAAAAAGCCTGAGCATCTTCTAAGGCCCCAAAACAACAAAATGTTTCAATTTATATTCTGTTTCTTACTTTTTTTTTTTGAAATCTAATTTTTTCACAGATCATCCAATACAAGTAGAAACCTATTTACTTATCTCTGGTATCTAAACGCAGGAATCTGCAAACGAAAATGAATCTGTCCAAATGAAATGAAAAGAAATGAGCCTTCTTACTTCTAAGTTGTAGAGCACTCGGAAGGTGGACATTCCCGGAGCAAAAGAGCGAAACAGACTTTCCAAAATCGAGCTGGCGCTTGGCTGATGCTGCTGCTTTGAGGACAGGGATGGAGACTTTGAGGACTGAGAACTCGTTTCGGACAGTAATGTTTTCTAAGTTTTTCAAGAATGAAAACCAAGAATATATGTGTTAGAAGCACAAATTAGAGAGAAACACATCTTAATGCGTATTCTAACATTCTTTTCTCTTTATTATAATTGCACCAAAGAAATCTTCTATAAATCAACCTCGAAGACACATAGCTTTGTAATTACTAACAAAACATCAAATTCCATCACACAAACTGTACGTGCTCAACAGCGTTCCAACCCTACCATGAATGCGTCTGAGAATGTCTTCCAGGCAACACTAGCAAGGTCATTTTTATTTGCTTCCGTGTTTTTAACATCTGCACTACTAAATACCGGTAATTAAAATTATAAGATTGTAGAAGTGGTAGTTTTGAAAACGTTTTTAGCCAGTACTAGTGATATGTTTTAGAATTACGTTAATTTTCTTCTCCCCACAAATAATACCTGGGCCGTGTATGACAAGACCATGAGCTGATCTAAACCTTTAGCCACTGGCAACGTGAATGCATACCTTCTAACGGCTTTGTTCCACATGAACTTATTGAGAACATAATTAAACACTATTACAGATAAAATACAATTTCAATACATAATAAAATTCTTGAGGAACAACATTCTAGAAATTAAGATGAACTTTAAATATCAGCTGTGGAAAAAATGAAATGATATAATTATGCCAGCATCTCAAACACACACAACAATCACATTCAGAGAGGCATCATGACAGAAGAAAAACATCTTTGCTGAATCAGAACTAGAGTCTGATCTTGGACAAGACACTTCCTCTCTCTGGGCTTCAGTTTCTTAATACAGAACAAGAAGAACATGGAAATACATGATATTCAAATCTCTTCTGGTTCTAAAACTTGATGTCGTTACTGACTCTAGATCTCTTAAAAGTCAACATGAAGTTCTGATTTCCATTTACAGTGAAAGTAATTTTCTAAAGAAGAGCTGTTATGGGAAAGATGGCATCACATGGCCTTAAAGTGATTTCCGGTTGTATTTTTACTGAATCATGACATCAAATTTCCATGCCAGTTAGGTAACTGTCCAAGACGCTTATACCTTTCTTCCTAAAGAATCAAGTTGATCCAGGGCTTCCTGAATGGCTGGGTCAGTGGGTATCAACAGGAGAAGCTTTCGTACGCGTAGAGTTATCCTGAAATTTGTCAAATACAAGTTTTGTCACGTAAGTCAGTTTCAAGAACAAAGTCATTTGTTCCTGACAGATGTAAAGTAAAAATACGCTGGGCTCCCTAACTTTAATAGCTTTCTCTTTTTCATGCTTCATAAATATTTCCATCATACCTTGGCTCCTCCAGATTGGCGAGCTGGTAAAGCATGTCAAACACATTACATACAAGTGCCATCACAACACCAGGGAGGGACTTCTCCTGAGGAAAAAAGCAAAATATAAACACAAACTGACGAAAGAATCTTCTCTTTTTCTAACCAAATAGAAATATTGTGCCAACAATAAAATGACTAATTCTGAAAGACTGGCCACTACAAAGCTTGAGGGGAAGAGCGTGCTTACCTGCCCTACGGAGCAACACCTGGGAACAGACCGGCGGGACCACTACCTTCTAGTGCGTCTACTTACAGGGCTCTCTCCTACCCGCCTGCAGGTGAGGGGCTAAGGCGCCAAAAGGCAGGCAGTGGAAGAAAGGTAAAATGATGGGCAGGTATAATGAAGAGAATGGAGAGTAGACACCATTAAAAGCTGATCATGGCTCATCAGGAGCAAACAAGGTAATGAAAGACTGAAGAGCAAAATCATAGTAGTACAAATGTACAAACACACACAACACGTAGAAGAGATGTAGATGTGATTAAAGTACTATTTTCTGGTTATAAAGTTAAGAAACTAGACATCGCTACAGAATGTCATTATACCAAGGAACGTTTTTAATAAATTCAGAATATAATTTGAAAATGTTAAGCTTGAAGATGTTGTGTACTTCAGATATTGCAGGGTCAGTTCCAGACCACAGCAAGAAGCAAATACTACAAGAGTCAAGTGAGTTTTTGGATTCCCAGTGCATATACGTTTATACTCTACTGTAGTCTATGAAGGGTATAGTAGCATTATATCAAAAAAAAAAAACCCCAATGTATCGTGTCTTAATTACACTTTATTGCTAAAAAAATGCTAACCATCATGTGAGCTTTCAACGAGTCATAATCTTTTTGCTGGTGGAGGGTCTTGCCTGGATGTCGATGGCTGCCGATGGTGAGGGTGGCGGCTGTGCAGGCCGAGGTGTCTACGGCGATTTCTTAAAATAAGACAACAATCGAGTTGGCTGCACTGATGGACTTTTCCTTTCACGAACAATTTCTCTGTAGCACACAAGACTATTTGATAGCATCTTACCCACAAAACTTTCAAAAGTGGAGTCAATCCGGGACATCTGGGTGGCTCAGTCGGTTAAGCATCCAACTCTTGGTTTCGGCTCAGGTCATGATCTCATGGTTCATGAGTTCGAGGCCCACATCAGGCTCTGCACTGATAGTGCTGAGCTTGCCTGGGAGTCTCCGTCTCCTCCCTCCCTCCCTCCCTCTCTCAAAAATAAATACATAAACATTTAAAAAAAATGGAGTCAGGGGCGCCTGGGTGGCACAGTCGGTTAAGCGTCCGACTTCAGCCAGGTCAAGATCTCACGGTCCGTGAGTTCGAGCCCCGCGTCGGGCTCTGGGTTGATGGCTCAGAGCCTGGAGCCTGTTTCCGATTCTGTGTCTCCCTCTCTCTCTGCCCCTCCCCCGTTCATGCTCTGTCTCTCTCTGTCCCAAAAATAAATAAACGTTGAAAAAAAAAAATTTAAAAAAAAAAAAATGGAGTCAGTCCTCTCCAACCCTGCCGCTGCTTTATCAACTAAGTTTATGTGATACTCTGAATCCTTTGCCGTCCTTTCAAAAATATTCACATCTTCACAGGAGTAGATTCCATTTCAAGAAACCACTTTGTTCATCCATAAGAAGCAACTCTTCCTCTGTTCAGGTTTTATCATCAGATTGCAGCCATTCAGTCCCATCTTCAGGCTCCGCTTCTAATTCTAGTTCTCTTGCCCTTTCCACCCCATCTGCAGTTACTTCATCCAGGGAAGTCTTGAACCCCTCAAAGTCATCCATGAGGGTTGGAATCAACTTCTTTCAAACTCCTGCAAATGTTGTTATTTTGACCACTTCCCAAGAATCACAAATATTCTTAATGGCATCTTAATGGTGAATCCTTTCCAGAAGTTTTTCAATTTACTTTGCCCAGATCCATCAGAGGAATCACTATGGATAGCAGCTATAGCCTCAGGACTTTCAGACTTGAAAGTGGAAATGAATGACTCCTTGATCCACGGGCTGCGCAACGGATGCTGGGTTAGCCGGCACGAAAACAACATTCATCTCGTACATCTCCATCAGAGCTCTTGGGTCACCAGGAACACTGAGCAGCAGTATTTTGAAAAGAGTCTTCTTTCCTGAGTAGCAGGTCTCAAGAGTGGGTTTAGCAAACTACGTTGTAAATAAATGTGCTGTCATCCAGGCTTTGTCGTTCCATTTA